CTTTTCTTCTTCGTACAAGTTGACGGTGTTAAGAGTAAACAACATACCACAGCCAAATCAAAGCACGCAGAATCCATGTAAAATTCGATGGGATCCACAATGCAACCAGTATTGGTCGCTAACGCACATCCGGGAGTAATGAACGGTAAGAACTTGAGGAGAAACTTGGTATCATTGGTGGAAACCAACAGCAACTTGCAAGTAATTTTCGTGTTTTTAGGCTGCTCTTCAAGTATGCGTTCAAGTTGTTCGTCCATTAAACGCTGCAGACGAAAAATATTTCCTTAAAAGCTTCTTCCAGCGCGTTACCGTAATTTGACCTACCGTGCCAACGTGAAGCTTCGTTATTCGTGCATTCCTTGTTAGCTGGAAGAACGTGCGCATCGCTACCGATTGATATATCTCATTTGGGTAGTGAGGTTGTAGTTCTGGTAATAGCCCTCGATTTTTCTCCTCCTCAGCTGCTCTGAAAAAATTTAATTTCCAAGTTTTTCCTCGAGATTTCGAGTCCATTTTTTCAAAACCTCTCTACGATGCATCCATTACTGCCATCATCAGCGAATGAAATTTCTTCGCCGTTGACTATGAGAAACATGCTTTTTTCGACATATCCTCTCTAAATTACGCCAGTAACTTCAAGGTTTGGCTACTTGAGGGCGGAGGGTGTTAAAAAATAGATTTAACTTACATTTCGGAGCGAATAGTACCTCAGCTTCTTAAGATAGACTGAGTATATTTCAGTGGGTACACGAGAAGCCAGTGACAGACATTCCTTGCTGAGAAACTTGAAGCTGTCCACAGTTTGAACGGGCAAATATCTAAGGATTTTGACCTTCAGCTCGGGTGACAGTTCACTCCAGCGACTGAATTCACTAACGAAGGCATCGGGGCCAGAGCTAAGCAGAAAATTCTCATCCTCCATTCCTGTAAGTACTTTTTCAGTAGGTCAAAGTAGTTATTTAGATTTCTTCACAGTGAGTATAGAAATATCCCAATACTAAGCTTCAATTCTACATCCATCTCGAGAAAAACGCATCTCAATCTTCCCAAAGTCAAACTATTTTCCTACGATACGTCAGATTACAAATTCTGTTATATCTGGATCAAAAACAGAGCAGCTTCCGATCCAACGGCTCATTACTAAAGTGTTCTGATAGTAGTGCAATCCACTTCCTCCGTTCCAGTCAAACTCATAAAATCGTTCTCTGACGCATCGTAGGAAAGCAGTGCGACACTGCAGAGTCCTAACGTAATGTTACCAGAGGCGGGATTAGCATTGTTGCGTGCGAACAAACTCGTCCAGGTCACACCAAGCACGCATGGTTTGACGCACGTGGACTTTAAAGGACCGGAACGAGGCCGAGTTTGTTGGCGCCCTACACCACTAGTCCCGCCATTGGAAACATTAAGCTACGGACCCGACACTGAAAGAACCGATAAGAGTTCTTCGCAATACTGAAGTACTGTTGAAGACATACTCTCTTTTTCACGGAGTAAGACGAGTTAGGTGGGCGGGCCAGTCACTCGGTGGGACGCCACACGTGTCCAGACGGTTAAAACAGCGAAAGCGATTTTTCGCTTCCCACTGCTCACTTATCGGTGATGATTCGGCGCTAGGCTACCATTGGCAGAACGAAAATGCCGGAACTTCTCCGGTGGCAATTTCTCGCTGTTTATTCGTTCCCGCAGCTTACAATTTATTACTCTGCTCATACTTGAAGCCATTGCTTCGAAGAAAAAAAAAGTGAAGGTAGTCCTAAACCAAATAATAAAAAACGCAGCATTTTCCTTTCTAAAAGTCAATTTTTTTTGAAAATTTTCAGTGAAAATGTCTCTTTCGTCGCCATTTTTAGTCAAAGTACCATAGGAAAACATTTTTTCATGAAGAAACGGTAGGAATGACTTCGGATTATATGAGAAAAAAATCCGCAACAAGTAATGTAGACGTTTTAATATAAAAAATAAAATATGGGAAGATCGAAAAAGCCGTGTGCGACCTAACCATCCTAGCCTTTGAATATGGCAGGGTGAACAGCCGCAGATAACGTGGCGTTAGCTGTTCTTATCTTTCTCGCATCGTCAGCACCTTCCGTTAGAAGAAGTGTTTCGACACCGAAGTTTGGATAGATCAGAAGTTGCCTTAGACCGCTGTTCCCATTATGGTCATTAGCGGTGGTAGTCTTCAGTCAGTACTAGCTGTGCGGTAGCTTTACCGAAAATATGGCTGCACTTCCATCTGTTTCATCATTTCAGATCCGGAAGGTAAGGAGGCTCACTGTTGGTGTAAATGCGGACGTTAAAGACGATCAGCTGCTCAGCTTATATACAGAGAGGTCCTCTCCCCGACGATCGCAAATGAGTTGCTAAAAGCAGTTCCCGACGGGNAAAAAAAATCGATTTTGAGATTTTTGCATTTTTTCTGTAAAGTAGCCAAATGGACTGC